TGTCTATACTGGTCACTCAAGGGACTGAGAAAATTTTACCACTATGCGTGCAGTGCAAAACATACTGTTAGTAAAAAAATGAGCATTTTGGTGTTGATACAGAACATAAATTTCAGAATATTACATGTACATGCCTTTAAATTTTTGTGAATCAGAAAAAAAGCTGGGAAATCCAAGAAACAAGTAGTGTTGCTATGTCATTTTATGCTAGTCTGAAATATCTTGCCAAACTAAGACTCTTAGAGTAATGCTTCAAAAATATTATAGTTATAAGCATTTTAAATGCCATATTCTACTAGTGTTATTTCTTCCCATGCGGAAAAGTCCCAAAAATATTCTACCCATATTTTTACAAAGGGCACAAACTTAGACCAGTTATACAAAAACAAAGTAGCACCTTTTTCACTTCAAAATCAAACCAGAAAACTAGCAATACCTAACTGTGTTATATGATTTCAAGAAAACAGAAGACATTCAATTCTAAATAAAAGCGTACCTAAACTAGAAAGCATGCCGTTGCATTCTGAAAATCCGTCCAATTTACCAAGAATATATCGTAACGTGTTGTTACCAGTTTGAAAAGTCAATTTGACGACACGGCTTGTTGTCTTACCTTGTGAAAACTCAGCCCTCCCCACGACCACGCCGTCCTTCCACTTGGCGCCATTTTATCGTCTTCTCCAAAAATCTACCAGGTCGGAAAACCGCATTTTCTTCGCCAAAAATCCAGAAAACGGCACGACTCCGCCTTGGAAACATCCCCGAGGATTTGTTCTACACCTACGAATTAATATTTTTTCGAACTAGAAGCCGAAAATTTACCAAAAACTTGACAAATGCTCCCTTCTCTTCCCCGTGTGTCACCGACTGACACAGACTGAGTGGACCGTACCACGTGTGATTTTTGCACAGGGGCGCGCAACAGCTGGTCTAATTTCTACCCTGATGACCACAACTACTTTACCACCAAAAATCAATCCCCTAAAAAAATAAAGGTTTTCTGACTAAAATTTCGGATTAGTCTGTGTCCAAATTACACACAGTTTGCACCAGCAGCAACAAGTATTTGTAACGAACGTGTAGTAGCCGGAATCTGCTGATTCAATTTATGTGCACCACATGTTTCTGTGCAAACTGTGCCTGTCCTTGGTGCTGAACGCCATCCACATAATGTTTAACACATAGTATGGTGAACACCACACACACGCGCTCGCTTTTAGAGCTCTCATGAAATACAGGAACTTCTAACAGCTTGCCAAACCTTACAGACGAAAATAGGCATGTTCTTGAGGAAGGCAGGTGTCGAACTGGCAATGTTTTACGCTACATAAAATCACAACGGTAGTGGCTATATGTTACGTTGCATTCGGCCAAGCTGACTCCGCCTACATGAAAATCCAGGCACTACTATAGCTAATTTTACGCTTTTCATAGACTACACCGATTACATACGCTATACGGTGTTGCATTTGAAGCATGTTAGTGGCCTGGCTACGAATTATGTGGGATTAAAACGGCCGATTACGCCCCAGTCTTGAAGGCATACTTCCCTACATGTTTCTGTGCAAACGGTGCCTGTCCTTGGTGCTGAACGCCATCCACATAATGTTTAACACATAGTATGGGGAACACCACTCACACGCGCTCTCGATTTTTAAAGCTTCCATGAAATACAGGAACTTGTCAAAGTCGGCCAAACGTTTCTAGGTGTTCTAGATGTGTTCTAAGCGTTTTAAGTGTGTTTTATGTGTGTTCCAGGTGTGTTTTATGTGTGTTCAAGGTGTGTTTTTGGTATGTTCCATGTGTTTCATTTTTGTTCCATGTCTGTTCCAGGTGTGTTTTAGCTACATCACGATAGCCAAAGCTACAATGCCGAAATTTACAACTTCTTTCATAAAAATCTGTTTTGTTGCAATTTTCCCCCACAAAGAGTACATTTTTGCTCCTGTGCTATGGTAGATAACACATTAAAGCTAATACACAACACAGCGAACAAGAACAGCAACAACGGCGGTTATGTCATGTTGATGTATAATTCCCCAAGTACACACTGAGAAATACGGCGCAGTAAACAGTTGTTTTTAAAATGCTGCCACCAGAGATTCTATACAAAATTGTACTTTACAACGTTCAGATTCCGGGACAATAGACACATGTAGTCTACAAGGGCGACGATTCTGTCAATGTCATTCCGTTGACAATGCGAAGGGTGTACGAAAATATCGGTAAAGTTGCACATTTAATAGCAGAGTTACCGTATACAGTAAATGGCGTTTTTTTCTATATCAACACATTATGTACTTAAAATCGATATACAAAGTTTGTTCAGTTTACGGCACGACAAACCTGGTTATGGAATTATTATGTAGAATAGAACTTTGCAGCAAAACATGACTAAGGGCCTGGTTAGGCCATGTTGATTTAATTATATGGATGACATCCTCTGGGAACCTCAAGACTGATGCGAGCGTGCGAATAAAATGTTTGGCAAAAAAAGGTGCTTTCATTATAAAATCTACGTGGTCATGAAGGTTGAACAAATGCCTAAACATGCAGGGTATGGTATGGCGAATAAAATGATTTTCATTTCTTCACATTTTCTTCTTTTCCTTTGGAATTGATTTTTGACTTTTGTATCGATCTCCAATATTTTTTTTTGCAATCTTCGGAATATATCTGCTAATTTTGCAGTTGCTTTATACGATTTACAGTATGGTTGAAAACTTTTTAAACGGACGAAAATTCATGCACGCGCTGATGTCATCCATATAATCAATTCAACATGGCTTTACATATGCCATACGATCTTTGCACGATCACAAATGGAGGGCGTTCTGGGTTAGTCGTACATGCGTCGTGAGAACGAAAAAGAGTATCTTCGATCATTGTGGGCGGTTGATACTGTCACATCCTGCTAGAAAATTCTACATTTTAAATCTTACAATGACCTACGCCAAATTTACTACATTGTTTAATTTTAACGAACGCATGTACAAATAAATGCCTTTACCGCAACGGAGCTATGCTGGTTGGGTGAAAGTATTTGAGCGGGGTTCCAAGTGATATATACAGAGCTGAAGCACTCATTTCGTAGTGTATAATACATATTATTGTGCAACGTTTAGCTTTACAAAGGACTGGATGCACACGTATATAATATAATACAAGTCTCTCACCCGTTACTAATACCAATGTAGATACACACAGCACAAATCTGAATGACGCTATGCATATCGATATCCTAACAACAAACGAGATACTAATTAACAGAGTAAGAATCTAACACATCTTGTAGTTCAAACAGTTTCAACTTATTCTTCCGTTTACCCCTATCTCTTGTGTTGTCGTATACAAACATACGCATTGGAGACATATGGAAAAGCGCCCCAGACTGAATCCTGCAATGATATCATGGACCGCTAGATGTCAGCATGTAGACGTAAATTTTGTTCGACCCTATCAGATATCACTTTGTAAAAGATTGACTGTGCCAGCGCATTGAAAATAGTGCGCTGCATTTTTCTTTCAATCTCCATTGAAACTAAAAGCACTTGTATCAATGGCATTCCACTGCGGCAGTCACATTGTACTCGAGAAAATAGACATTTTAAGTGGTGTTGAATATTATTAAAATTCCTTTCACAAGAAAAAACGGTTTCCTGATATAACCTTCCTCAGATTACAACTGCATAGCACTGTTCGTTTTCCCATTGGAATTCTTCGTATACTGCAGCAGAGATATACAAACGTATTAGATACTGTATGATACACTCACGTCATAACTACAATCTTCTAATGATGCAAAAACTTGGATGATAATTAAGATCTGTGAGATCCACCACTGAGGAACAATAGCTTATGAAGAATCCTGTTTTCTGGGAACATCCTGAAAAAACACTGTGCCTTGAGATTGTCCGTTCACTTATAGACAAATATCGACAACTTCGACATATTTGACGGTGTCACAGACTTCCTTTAAAAATTCGTTGCATACTATTACGTTGCAGTATCTCAAAAGACTTTAAGTACGAAATTTCTGTACATAAAGCTGACAATTAACAATCACAGGCATAGTGGACTTTTTATATCATCAAAGCTACAGACAGCCCATTCTTTACACACACCTTAAAGTATGCGTAAAGTTTTCATTTCTTCACGCGCATGTAAATATGCTTAAAGGTGTGCTTAAAGATAGATTTTGCAGCATGGAATTCCACAATACCTACAAGTTTTAACATGTGGTTGCGGTATCTGTTACAAAGTCACAAGCGAGGCAAGAACTTGGTTTGATGAAATTGTGAGTTGAAATATTATGATTATATATACATTAGAATGATTGGGCACATACATGATTGTACGATTCTTCAAACTGGGTAGAAACTGCTTTACAAACAAGAATACGTTTATACGTACGAACAAAGTCGGTACATAGTAACAGTAGCAATAACAACATCGCAGTATGCATTTTTTTTACAAAGTTCCCTTTTGATATTGAGTCTCCATACTTCAATAAAGGTATGTCTTAAGCAGAGCTTCTGAACGACTTAACAAGGATGCTATTTTTAAAAAATCTTTCTCAGTGCAGCATAGGACTTTCTGTTCTTGTTGTACAACATATAGCCATGAATATCATCTTTGTATTTGTTATTAGAAAGTCTTATTAAGCTAGTCTACTTCTTCTTAAGAGTAAATAACGATGTAAAAAAACAACGAAACAAAGAAACCTTTTTAAGAAGATCGCATTCTCATCCACTAATCGTAGTTTTAGGCGATGTCATGCGCACTGTAATTATGATTTTTATAAATGATGAATCCTACACCTTGTGAGAAAGTTTTAAACTGGATTGTAGTAATCAGCTATCTCTGTTTCTTACGACCTGGTCACAATTGTCGTACGATCTTCGCACGATCGCAGATTGAGGGCATTCTTGAGATAACACGAAAAGCCTGCCTTAGATCTTTGTCGGCGGCTGGTTTTCTCACAGAAAACTTCTTTCTAGAAAATCGCAATCGTACGACTAAATACGGCAAACGTTACCGAGTCATAAGGACAGACGGTACATGTACGTCACACCCAAAACACAAGTCGATACTCTTCATCTCCAAGATGGAATCGCGCAGAATCTGTGTGCTGCAGAAATTGTTTCATATTGCGCAGGGCTGGCTTGTTGAAGGTGGTCAGAATGTTCACTGCTGTACCTGTCCAAAGTGCACAAAAATTTAAATAAAAGCAGTTTTAAGACCCAATGACATTCTGTCAGCGGAAATGTGGCTTTGCAGAAACGTTGTGTCGTAGCGCGTTCGTACGATGGTGGTTCCAGTCGAAACCTTTCTTTCGCGACTCCTGGGATCAAATTCACGAGACTGGTTTGCTGTTCTCAACATTGACATTGACATCTCGCAACGACACTGCTGAGGTGGAGTTGGACTGCGGTTTGGGACTTTCCTCTGGAGAGCTTGTAGCATTCTGTCTGATGATTGAAACGCCTGGAGTAGAAAATATGAAATTATCAGCCAGAAATAAAACAGAACAAGAGTCCATTGGACACAAGTATTGTAACACTTTTGGCAAAGTGTGCGAAAGTGCAATGTACCAGAGTGTGTAACAGAGGCTATAAGAGATATTCAATTATATCATGACTGCCTCTAACGACCACACAATTTATCTTCCATTGCTTCAACAAGAGAAAAAAACTTAGATTTGGACTTAGATTATAGAATGTAATACCTAAGGCTTTGCAAACGGTGCCTGTCCTTGGTGCTGAACGCCATCCACACAATGTTTTACACATAGTATGAGGAACACCACTCACATACTCGTGTTCGCCTTTAAAGCTTTGTATGACTGCCTCTAATGACCACACCAATTTATCTTCCATTACTTCAACAAGAGAAAAAAACTTAAATAAATACCTAAGGCTTTAGAGTCATTCGTTTATTCTAATACTATATTTGTTACTCAGTAACATCATCAGTATGCATTTATCCCCATGGTTATGAATATGCAATAAGAATTGATTGATAACCTGATCGTCTTTGAGGATGGACTCCTTCCTGGTCTACCTTCGATGTTCTGGTCTCCACCTCTTCCTCTCTCTCACTGGATTCTCCCCGGCTCTCCTTCGTCAGTAACCCCGCTCTGGCGTCGCCCGCCGGGCTGTCTATCACGATACTGTGGCCCGACCCCGTGGCGAGTATTCTCTTCCCCGCCCTGCTGCCTTTAGTAGCGGTCTTGGACGAGGAGTCAGCTTTGTTCTGATCAGACTGAGTCGCGCTGTTCCCTGTTGTGTCGTCTGCATCACTCCTGGAGCTGTCCTCCTGTGTTGTCGGCTCTCCATGTCCATTTTCATTGTTGTTCTCCTTCATATCTTTTGCCTCTGTACAAATACAGGGATATGATATTATTCAGCAAAAAAATGTACAAAATACAGGGTTATGATATTATCTAACAAACATTATCTTTGCCAAAATATAAAAGGATATTGACCATCAGAGTCTTTCTATTGACCCAAACGGTACCATTGAAAGAGCTTGAAGCATACCTTAAAGCATATTATATTTATATTATATTATATACCTCATATTACATATAAGGTACAAGCAACTGAAGAAAGGAAACCTTTACGCATGCTTTATGGTGCACATAAAGAATTTTGTGCAACGTGCCGTCTGTATTCATAGTGTGCTGTCTGCGTCAATAGTGACTTCTATTGCCAAGTACAGAACATTTGGTGGCTAATGTATATTTCAAGATGAGATTTGACTTCAAGTAAAAAATTAGACGTACTTTTCACTGCCTTCTCCTTCCAATTCCTCTTGTTAATCTTGAGGTTTTCCTGCCAGGGTCTCTTCAGCTGGTAGGTAGACTTCAGGACCATGTTGGGCTTCTTCTGTTTTCCTTCTTTCTCCTTTTAATAAAAATATCAACGATTAAATCATATTGCTTGATCTGAAAGACACAAAGATCAAGATACCCAAGACATTTAAAACCTTCCAATTAGGAGACATACAATGAAGGGTGAAGACATATATTGAAATTAAGGTATTTGACTTATACAAGGACCACAATAGGGTAACTAGATTACAAGTAACAATTTTTTTCCATATTTGTTTAGCATTATTAATTTAGATATATCTGTAAGGAGCAATGGGAGGATCCACAAAGTAGAAAATGGCTTAAAAGACTGTCAAAAAAAGAATGTATGCCAACATGTGTCCTTATACTATCCTTAAAAGTTAACCACATTTACAGATGCATCACGATATCAACATTGTCTATTGAAATAAAGTTATGTGGGGGTCGTGTGGCGTAACGGCGGAGTGCTCGACACGGAACCAAGAGGTCCTGGGTTTGAGTCCTGACATGCCACTAATCCTGTGCCCTTGGGAAAGGCACTATCCTCACTTCACTCAGGTGAGTATTGTATTGTCCCCTGTGTTGGTGTCGGCATTAATGTAAGTTGAAAAAACTTGAGTGTGCTGTCACCACGTCTTGTGATTACATGTTGGAATATAAAAAAAATAAAATGATGATTTTCGTACCTGGTATATTCTACTGTCTGACGCCCTCCTTTGCTGCTGTTCCTCAGCAAGCTGCTTGGGGGCCAGCGGAGTGAGAATCTTCTCCAACATGTCCCCCATCACTTGGAACGTCGGGTCAACAATAAAATCTATAAAACCTGGAGAAATACATTGTCAATGTAAGATATCTTCTGTCTCCCAGAAATACTTCTCTTGCACTAAATTACATTGTAACTGTACAGTGCTTTACTCAAGAAGATGCAGAACGTTTGGATGTCCTTGATAAGTACAAAATGTACATATAAAAAAAATTCAATTTTGCCAAATAGATACATGTAAATATATATCACAAAAAGATCTATGGAACACATTAAAACATTGGCAGATAAGATTTCATTGCTTGTGCTGACAAGGATTTGGTGCAAAATGTTCATATAAATCAAATGAATGTCAATATGTTTATAACCACTGTTTCAGCACCAAGGACAAAGACACTTTACAACAGAAAAAGATGGTTCAGATAGATGTATATGAAATACAATTTATTTATTGAAAAATGCAACAGGACATTACACTGACTCTCAAGGCAGCAAAGCTGATATTAGAGAGTCAATATATAAACTTAAGACAAAACACATGGGGCAAATAATTTCAAATACAAAATACAAGAACAATTATCATAAAGACTTAACCTATATCATTCTAATTAATTAAGTACATATATATACATAGTAAAAATATATGATAGTAAAAATATACAAAATACAATAGGTAAGCCTTTCTAAGAAGAAAATATTTCATGAAGATATAAGATCTATTTCTTAGGTAGGTAGTCCAATGGGGGTTAAAATAGAGAGCCAAACCTATTTGTGAATCTGCTATCACCGTTGTGTTTCTGTCGCAGAGTGGTGAGAATGGCAAGCCGAGGGCTTTTTCTTTGTCTCCCTGGTAAAGAAAATGTGCAATAGATTGTTGAATTGAAAACATGAACTACAAGATGAAACAATGAGGAATAAACTTATGTATACTTTTCATGTAAGTTTAGTTGATCTATTATTTGTCAAACATGTCCTTAATATAATTCACCACTAATCAGATTCGCAAGTTACCACCCCGCCGAAGGTAGAGATCTTAGACTATATGAAACATCAGTATTATAATAACAAATGATAGCAAACCATCTTCACAATGGAATTGATTAAGTGTAAAGTGATATATGATAAGGTTTTTGTCCGTAAATGTATCATTTAGCCAATTCTTTGCCACGCCTACCCCCTTCAGAACATAGAAATGCAGAGTAAAAAACATGAAAAGGCAAAAATTTGACAGACATGCAGTCACGCTCTCATTGGTTGAACCACTAATTGCCACCCTCTCATTGGTTGAATTTTTGATTATGATTGTGATTGACAGTCTATCCTACCTGTCTGAAGAACTCCTCCATGAGTTGTTCTGTCCACCTGGCGTGCAGGTGCCAGGGTTTGGCAGGGTGGCCGATATCAGCCGTGTGGAGAAGCAGGGACAGTGCTTTGGACTTGTCAATACTGAGTAAAAAAAAAACAACAACATTCAGACAAATGGATCGTTTTGAACCACAACTGTATTAAACTCCACACATAGCTTAAGGCCATGACAAGTTATTTTAAAGAAATCCAATCCAATGCAATTTCATGACGGCAAAACTGGATTTTCAAAGCAATCAAAGGTATCTGCAAGTCAAATATGAGATGTCACTGACAGAAAACTGTTTTGTATTGTAGACTAGTTTTAACTATTTATGGGAGAAGGTATAGCCTCACCTTTCAGGACAGGACAAAAGGCTCTTGATCTGTTTGACCTGCTGAAAGTGGAAGGACATGTCTGTGGCCAGCACCATGTCTATCGTGAGTGTCCGCAGAGTTCTGCAACACAAGGTCAACATCTCTATTTTACACCTGGCAATTTGTGAACTCAATGGAAGGTCAAACTTTCTCCATTCTCTTAGACCTATTAATGCAAACTTTATGGTTTTCATTCTGTACACTAACATCAGTCCTCTAATTTTTCTTACTTTAAAATTAACCTGAATGACCTGATCGATAGTGTGACATCAGCAACATGCCAAAGGTGTCCAGTAGTTGGTATCGGCCCCCATCTCGGTTGGGAATTTAACTTGAGAAAGATCAGAAGACTGGTCAAAAACTTGGGGGTTAACTTTTTACTTTGTGTATGAATTATCATTTTCTGTACCCTTAAAGATGAAGTTTAATTCAGATAGGCTTTGTGTTTGGAAAAATACAGATTACCAGCAAAACAGCATCTCAGGGAAACATAAACATTAAATTTCATATAAATGTATTGTCTCACCGGAAGTCATCAACTGAAAGGTTGCCCAGGATATTGAGGCTGTCGTCCTCCATGAGTCTGAAGGCTGTGCTGATGTGGTGGTTCTCCAACACCGCACGGTCATTGTACAGCAGCGCCATCGGAGACCTTTGGTGGAACAACAGCATAACCATCATAACGTATCATGGAAAACTAGAGCTCTTTCAGTAGTATACAGAAAATGCATGCACTGTTATTCATCTGATACACACCTCTATTTCATTACATGGTCGTCAACTGGACAATAATACATGTGTGTATGTCCAAAGCATTTTGAGATCACATGCAGTCACATAAGCCTTTTCGGGGTGACTGAGCTGTGGGTTTGTGTATCTGCCTGGACCAAGTAGGTTGACAGCACGTGGGTGGGGTAAGATTGACAGGCAAAATGACAAGAGGTAGAAGGTCAAGGACAGGAATTGGGGGGTCAGAAAACCAAGTATACTGTCCGCAAGTCTGAATTTTCCGATTTTATTTTGAAAAAGCAAAAAAAAAAATACTGTAACTTGTATATCGATGACAAGTGTGAATTGTTGACTTCCACTACTGGGTTCAAACTTCATTATGATGATGATTACTTACTTTGACATGACATGGAAGCTGTTGGTCTCTCCCGTGTGTTCCACATCATGTATGGCCGCTGACAGCACGACCGCCAGGATCTCAACATCCGCCAACCATTGCTGTGTTTAAAACAACATGAATGAAAATCTAATCCTGTTTGATACAATTTCCACGTTCATACCTTTGGGTGACATTCGTAGGTACTGGGTGAATGCATAGGTAATGGTGATATTGACATTTACATTTTCATGATCATTTCATACGTGAAGCCTTTGCCGAGAAACAAGCTACATGAGAATTAGTCCCTTTACTTTTTGGTAGCAACCTACGATACGAAACAAGCGACCGTTTTTCATCAGCAATATCAGATTTCTGCCTCATGATATCAGTAAGCCATTCGGTAGGATTGAGACAAAATCCTATATTAGAAAAATGACCATGAAATTGAATTTTTCCTGCCCTGTAATCGCTTTGGGTGCCTTTAACGGGTAAAAAATGGCAAAAACCGGGGTCCTTCAGCCCGCTTAATTTTCTAGAAAGAAATTGAATGGTAGGGCAGACGAAGGGACTTGGGAAGAAAATTGCATTTGTTCCAGAGATATATGGAGATCAACCCGCAGATTAAGACAGACGAAAATTACACTCTGGTTAGGGCAAACTCATCGCGAGAATCATCGACCCGAAAAAGATTGGATATTTCTCCGTAATCCATCTACATAATCTTCCTGATCTTCTAATACAAGGTTGCTACCAAACGTATGATTTAGTAGCCACGGGAGTAAAATAAATGGTAGTATATATATTCAGATGTTACCACGTAATACGGTCTTTGATCCGGAGTCTGTGATTGTTTCCTTTTGTAGAAAATAAATCTACCGTGTCTCCCTTTTTCCCATAGCCTGGTATCCAGTCTACCGTAGTTCGGGCGAACTTACGTCGGGGCTGTAGACAATCCCCTCTGTCCAGTTCAACTAGTCTTATCGGGAGGAGTATCTTGGCCTGTATGAGTTTTTTTGCAAATTTCCTGGGCGGCAAAACTGAATTTTCAAAGTCAATTTTCTGGTCATTCTTTAATGTAGTATTCTAAATCAACCCTATCCCATATAGCATACTGATACTTGTAAGGCAAAAATGTGATGTCACTGGCGGAAAATGGTTGCTTGTACTGTATCTTTGGCTGGTTGTGTTTGGTACCAAAAATGGAGAGACTCCTCACGTAGCATGTTTAATGTATATTTCAGATACATGGAACGATGACGAAAGTATGAAATGATGACAAAATATTGTCTACAAAATGGCAGAAAATGCCAACATCAGACAGATTTCCTCATCCAGAATAGTTTTGTATTGTCACCCTGAAACTGCATTGAGTGCCTTTAAAATATGGTTGATCAATGCTGTAGTGTGACCGGAGTGTGTTTAGTGCTCAGTGGTAATACATTCTAAAGGACAACAGAGTATAGGGTAGGACACATTTCAGCACTAAGGACAGGACCATGTACTATAGTAGGGGTCAATTCCCGTAGTGCAAAACTCCAACCGATGTGCCAAGTTGAACTGGCAGGGAACTACTGCAGAAGAAAACCCGCCAGAAGCAAGGTAGAGTGGACACCAGACTACTCTTCCCATTAATCCAACAGTTTCTCTTTTCTTCTTGACGTCAGTTCTACAACACCAATGCCTGCCAGAGTTCACACCTTATCAACTTCAGACGACGGCTTGGCGGTTACGGACAATTTGTTTTCTGTCCGAGCCGCGCGTTCGAACAGTTCCTTACCAAATCCATTACACACAACAGGGCTATCGGGATCAATTGCTTCACCTTTTAGATAGAAAGGGTACAGAACAAGCTGCCAGGTTAGGCCATGTTGATTTGATTATATGGATGACATCCGCGCGCGCATGAATTTTCGGCCGTTTCCCCCCCCCAAAAAATAGTTTTCAACCATACTGTAAATCGTGCAAAAAAGTTGCTAAATGAGCAAAAATATACAATAAGTTGCAAGGAAAACATTTAGAAACGATACCAATGTCGTAGAATGCCAAAATCAAAGGAAAAAAGACAAAAATGTAAAGAAATGAATTCGAAGAGTAGATTATTCGCCATAACATATTCTGTGCCATTTGTTCAACCTTCATGACCACGTAGATTTCATAGTGAAAGCAACTTTTTTTTTTTTTGCAAAACTTTTTTTTATTAGGACGCTCGCATCAGTTTTCGGGTTCCCAGAGGATGTCATCCATATAATCAAATCAACATGGCCTTAGGTGTAAACTGTGAAATGGGTGCTAGACTGCTAGTATTACCAGACTTAACATACGACTACCGTGGGTGTTGCAGACAGAAGAAAAATGCCCAGACTATACACGATGTACACAATGATTGATTATCTAGAGGACGTGCTAAGTATGTAATACCTGGTCCACGTCAGAAAAGAACAAGAAACAGCCATAAATTTACCTGTACCTGAGTTCTCAACCAACAATTGGAATAATTCGTTTTCCCCCTTGACTCAAATTTATCTCAAATTCGATTCGATTCGTATAGAAATTTAGGTATAAATCTTATCAGACTGCTCCCAAACTTCAGCCAAAAGGTTCTGACTATGTGGCAGGAGCTTACACAGCACAGAAGCCATCCTTTGCACACATTTTAAAGCATGGTGTAAAGATTCCGTTTCTTCTCTCACGTGAACCTTTTCACATGCTTTGTGGTTTTGCTTAAAGATATAATGTCGTGCAGTGTTAAGGGTGTATGTCGTGGTAAAGCAGCCATGGATTCAGCACCAAGGAGGAGGAAACCTGTACTGGAGTATCTTAAAGAATGCGTAAACGTACACGCAAGTGAACGGAACATTAACGCATGCTTTAAGTTGTGCGTAAAGAATTGATTTTGTGCATGTATGTCGTACCACGAGTCCTGTGGAGTACAGCAGGTAATGTGTTGTCTGCGTGACGTCAGCGGCGTGAAGCTGGTTGTGGTAGGGGTTGTTGTGCTTCCCATATCCGCTCTCCAACGCGTCCAGGAACTTAAACAACACCCCAGAGTTGATCTGTGTGGGAAAGAAAACAAAACTAGAACGGTAACATTTGCAAAGCAAATGCATAATGTTTTTCTTCGCATATATGGTCTGCTCTGTTAATTCTTACTCAAACCTTACTCAAACACATTCATATATATGCATATATATGTGGTCAGACTGGAGTCTAAATCCCTCCTGCTATAAAATTACAACATGATGTAACCCAACACTAGCATGGTGACAGACGTCTGGTTCAGGTCATTGACCTTATTTGTTTGGAGAAGAAGAAGAAGAGGAAGAGGAAGAAGAAGAAGAGGAAGAAGAGGGAACAAAGCAAAAACTATATGTTTTCTTCATAAAACAAACATAAAAAATGTCACTGCAAAAAATCCAATCTTAATGCATACCCTAAGGTATTAACATTCAATTTTTGAGAGACGAAACAGAATGCATGCTCCAAGGAATGCCTAATTTCATGCAGTGTGCCCAGAAAAGTCTCAAGGGCAAGAAATGTTCTGCGAGCATTATTGTAATGCAGGAAGATAATCTCAATGTAGATTCCTTCCGGGGTAAGACTATATGAAATTGGCCACTAGTTGCCTGATACGTGTCAATGGTAACTAGTGGCCAATTTAATACTGCCTTGCCCCCGGAGGAATCTGCTGGGAGATTATGAGGAAGGTATAACTGTAAGAATTTTCTCTGTATCTGGAGATGATCCTTTATGGTGCTAAAAGCACTGAAGTCTAATTTAGTATTACTATACTTTCATACAAACATTCCAATATAAGGTAATGTTTATCAGATTAACCAGTAGTACTTATTCTACATTACATGAACATGGTCTGATAATTGTGTTTTTTGAATTTATTGTATTCATGGTAAGGTGGCAATTTAGGAACCTATTGTTCTTAAACTTTGTATTTTTTTGTAAACAAACTATATACTAGTAATGTCCTTTTTGATGAATGCAAACAATTTTGTTCTTTGATATAATCTCCACCTGCCCAGAAAGCCCATAATGATATATATATATATATATACATTTGTATTAAGAGATCATGTAGATATAGACTTGTAGAAGGAACAGGTGTAATACCCTTGGACCCTTATCCTAGTTCATTTGGCCTATGTGGGGCATCAAGATGCAATAAAGTTCATTGTAATTGTCACTGTCATTGTCATTTTAAGTTCTTAAACTTACCTTGAACTTGACTAGCAGGTCGTAGGTTTTTAGGACCTCGTAGGCGACGTATCTCAGTGCCTGGTTGTTGGAGGCTACGTTCACCGCAAACACATCAAAGGACCAGTCATCAAGGTTCTGTTGACAAGTACGGATGTTTGAAATGATAGAAAAACTGCAGCATAAGCTCAGTGTTGTTTAACACTTAATACATTACAATAATGCCAATCTTGATTGCATTGTGACATTGACTAAGTTATATATAATATTGTCTTATATATGTAGTAAGTGTAAATGATGTGAACAATTTGCTTGAGTTTTTTTTTTGCTTGAAGTATTGTTTATTTATAAGAAGCTTAAATCGGCCAACATGCCTCTTTTCATTGAGGTCATGAGGGAAGAGGTATTAAAGGGTCAGACAAAATATATAACATACAGTTTCAGATTACATTCTTAATGAATTGACAGTCCAACTAAATCTACATTATACATTTTTGATTAAACATGGTACAAAATACATAAAGGTTCAACACAAAATCATTAGAAGGTGACAAAAAATGATGTTCTTCGTGACAACATCTATAATTAACTTCTGTAAACCATGCACTGTCATAATTACTATAATACTGAACTGTGTGGGCTTGACGTATTTTTGAAAGCCTGGAAGTTATTAATTAGGAATTTCTAAGCTTATTGAGACGTCGTGCGTCGCTCCTTAACGAGACATTCCTTTCTTCTCTAATATCTTCATATCTATGCAAAGACAGGAGCGGAGGAAGGCTTAAGATCTCAGTATGACGTCTCTGGGAATAATTCATTAAGGCGGGCCACTTTGGTTACTGAATGGTAAATGGGCAAATTGTTTGGAACAGAATTCTTGAGACTACGTAGGAATCTACTTAGGAATTTACGTAAGAATAATTGTGAATGGGGTCTCCTTTCCATGTTATTCAATTCTTTATGCCCCATCTGACTTTCTTTATTACCTAGTGTACCACATTGCTGACGGGCAAGATTGCAAATATGATGGGAATTTATAAAACAAACTGTTACAGTATTCCTCACAATGAACTGAAAAGTATTGTATCCAAAGATTAGATACAATGCTTATATATAATTCAATATTTGCAATATTATTCAATATTATAAGACATGTGGATGTTTTTTTACAGTAAGGAAGTTAGCTCAAAGGTCCCAGAAAGGGATATTTCATTTCCTATTTGCTGTACATCGGCAAGAAAATTACGACAATCAATAAAAGAAAAAAATTCACAAATATATTTCTTGACTTCTTGCAAGAGTTTTTCCTGAATATATATAGCCCTCTTTCCATGAACATCTCGCCAACAAGTCCGAATTAGAGGGGCTTTATGAACTTTATCTATTCATTTCATTGGTTAGCGTGAGTGGATTCGGAAATTTGAATTCAACGACATTTATCTTGCTCTTCGTGGCCCTGCTGTTCCAGTGATGATGACGGTTAAGTCATTTTTCATTCAAAGACTGACTCTACGTGCTATAAAAAGAAGAAAATATGGCAAGTTTCTTGCGGGTTGAATGTGTGTCTCCTCACTCGTATCTGTATGCACCGTCACACGGCCACTAAAGTTCTTCAAATGGGTTCCTTATCATGACTACCCATGTCTACGTCTGGAAGGCTAATAGGGGCCACGATGTGAATGTGGAACGGGTCGAATGTTAATCCCAACCTCTGCTTCAAATCTCCTAGTACATAATACTGTACACGCTCAAGTACAGTGACCTACTAAAAGGTATAGAATTTACACCGAGGATCTAATTTCTAACAGTTAATTGAATGGAGGTGAAGTTCTTTTGTTTTATTGTAGGAGTGATGAAATGAATCATGATGGAAACTGGCAGATGTAGTTTGTTAGAGTGTAAACCATTGGTTTAAGCCATTACGACCAGGTGTACATTTGCATATGCTGATGCAGTAAAACCAAGATGGCAAACCAAGATGGTACCCACCTTAAGCAAGTTGACCACACCAGGAGGGTAGTTGACACCCGATCCAGACAGTTTTCTGCATAGCCTGTTGGGTCAATAGATACACGTTTACAACATTGTAAATACTATAAGGATTTCGGATGTATAATTATATACAGTAAGCTACATGCAATATATTTACTTTTGTTACCTCACATATATTACGGAAATTTTGTTTTCGGTGTGTCTATTTGAGTTAGCCTCTCTGCTATAGGCACTGCTAACAGGAAGTTAGGTGAAATGTCCCATAGATAAGGTAATCTAATTTCCTGTTATCAATTTTCTATTGCCTTATGGTAATGTTAGCCAACGGGAAAATGAATAGACATTCAAGATATAGAAATTCTCAATAATGAATAAGACTTTTTAAAATTCAGTGAGATATGAGATCCTCATTTTCCTGTTTATTACATTAATATTATAAAATATTTTTCCAATAATTATAACTGTTACAATGATCTCACCTGTCTACTCTGTTACATGCTCGGACGGCCTGGACAATGGAGCGAAAACGAGGCTTCTCCGTCCTTGCTCTCGTGGAAACCTGCATCTGTCGCGTGAAGGTCGACGCCAACCAATCACGGACCTCCGTGGGAACTGCATCCGGTTCAACTTCGCTGAGGTCATCCTCGTCTGGAACCAGTTTCCTGTGCAGATGGAAATGGAGAACCCCACAAGACTTTTGATACAACGCCACCTGTACCATTCCATTGTATCTACCACACTTTCCTCTGTAGTTTAATCCCAAGCCCATGTAAAGTTGGTAATTCCGTCCTAGCCACGCTCTGGTGCAAACTCACGCGAGGTCCCGTTCAAATGTGCTCTCGCGCGAGTACAATTCAAGTTGGCGGCCGTATTTGGAAATCTCTAACAAGCGTTTACTATAATAGATATATGCACACCATAGCTTGTTTTATGCGACAGTAGTGATGTGTCAAATAGGAGCACGCACTTACTCACCCTATAATCCCCACCAATCATACAATATCACAGAAATGTTGGTAAGAATATCAAATATAAAGCCATGATACGGTGACTATACCGCGTGCGTATCAAAGTTCTTGTAATATTATACAGACTGCAACGTTCCCAGAGATGCAATCCAATATCCCAAACCTGCTTTAAAGTTACGCTTTAATATCGTATTCCGTAGATAGAACACGTGACGTGAGCACCATACACTGCATGAAATCCTCTGTTTACACACACCTTAAAGCATGCGTAAAGGTCCCGTTTCTTCACCTGTACCTTACGCATCTTTAATGTGTGCTCAAAGATATGTTTTCGTGCAGTGCCGGTAAGTACCCCCATACTGTAAAGACCTGCAGAGTTTCTTGGCAGGGTTCCTTCCCTTTCATCGACTTTTCTCAGCCACCCGGGGAAAATAAATCACTACTGTAGGGCCAAATTTCCGCAATTTTCCGCGAGGTTCACAAGTGCAAGCTATGATAGCGTCGTTTTGCTCTTTGACGGTCTTATGGCGAATCCTACCCATATTTCACGGTAGAGTTAGACCACCAACTGGCCAAATTTCCGTAAGCCTTCTCTGTGGTTGCCTCCAGCCATGACATTCTCATTTCAGTTTCCATTTAGACCTCACTTACAGCCGGGTATTCATGAATAAAGCATCAGTAAATGCGCGCCTAGGATGAGACTGTCACGAACTTAAAAACAAGATGATTGGACAACGTGCCGTTACAGACGACTCTTTCATACCGGGAAAGCTCATGAAAGTCGACCCGTTGACCTTTACAAAAGTTGGCTGTGTGTCCTGATATGGCCTAGCCTGGATGCCAAGCTTCCAGTTCCTGCTTTAGTGCGCTGTTTTTGGGCAAAGACAGATAGATAATTAACACATTCTGAAACCAAATAAAACTTTTTCATTTGGAATGGTTTTGGGGAAGCTGGATGTTAGGTTAGGCAAGGGTCTAGTCCTTTTATTTTGTTGATAACAGGATGTCAGCCATATTTTGGTTGTGCAGCTAATCAATGTTAAGGAACTGTCTTATATTGTATGTGGTCTTGAGGGTTCAGAGGTGTATCTTTGGGTCATGCATTCACGATAGTTTCCGCCGTATAGAATTTCTAGTTGTGGACTATTTGGACAATAAAGAGGTTGGAATCCCCATGCAAATGTGTGTTTTTTATGATCTAAAACTTAGGTAGTTGGCACTTGATGGCTTTTTTTTTTACATAAATTTTACAAATGAATCTGAAACATGTGAGCCCTATCACCAAAATGTTTCAGTCAGATTTGAAATCTGACCAGGGTAAGTGCAATTGGAATCATACGAGCGAATTGCTTGGTTGTTACGCTAAGTTTAAGCTCCCCATTGCTTGGCGATCATTATAGGTGTGCAAAGAGTTTTTTTAATAACTTATTCATTTGAATCAAACTGGTACAATTGTGGATTGTAGTATTTTTTGGCCCCGGAAAAAAACCTGGTATCGAGGCTTAGTACATATCAGGATATCCGTGCTAACATGGACAATCTTCTGAAAAGGTCATCATGTTGACTTTCATAACTTTACTAGACTCACAGTCGCCGTGTCAATAATCTAAATTACTGCCAGCAAACTGCTTGTATAGCGGCTACATTATTTGATAGGTGGATGATATCACTATAAGTATAACAATAAGTCAATGCAGTGTTTGGGAATCTCTAGACCAAATATCTTCTCCTACATCTAAATTGCATAACGTTTCTAATGAAATTGAATTCACAAGGCATCACTAGGTAGCATTAGATATATCATTCGTATCTCTTCATGAGGGCTTTCTATGATAGTCCCATAATTTTGTTTCACTCCATACAATATATGAAATATATAATTTGATTTTCTTCTTGTCTCTTCTCCTCTTTCTTCTCCAGCCGTTTAGTGAAATGGATTCAATTTCTTTGGACAAATGACCTGAAATTTGATATGGAGGTGTTCTTTTTTTCCCAGGGGTGACTTTGGAATAGGCTATTTTTGTATGGGGGATTTGAGATGAAGTGAAATATGCTGCATTTGCTCTCGAGAAAATGTTGGCCTTTCTAGTTGAAAATCGTACCCAGAACCGTGGAACCAAATCTAGCTCTATGCCTGAATGGGTAATAGGATCAGGCACGATTCTGGATAGTCTACACGTTTCCATGAATGTAGAATTTTCCCCAGACACGGTTCATATACTCATTGAAGTCATATCATAATGATAATTAAAAGTTCAGGGTTTGGTGTGCCTCGGTTCTAGGGTTCCTCCTCTCCTGCACTCTCCAAGTGGGCCTGTAACACAACCTCTCATTGGCTAGATGGAGCCCATCTCGTAGGGGCCTGATCAATGGGAGGGCTGCTTAAAGTGTGTTTTAGTCAGGCTACCCTCTCCAGTACCAGCCCTGACCCTGGAACCGAGGTTAGGGTTGTTCTAAGAAAAACCCTAAAGACTACACAAACTATATACAACACCCATATATGTACATACAACACTTAATGAATTGAGTTACCTATCTCCCTTTCCCACTGGCTTCTCAGAGCAAGATTTTCTGTTCCGGGACTGGGGACTGAGGGGCGTGTCATGTGCATAGAGCACACTTCATTCATGGTGGCAGCGGTGGGATAGTGGGAAAAATCGGCAGATAGTTACGCATGCGGGTAACATGTGGCCTATACAATGGGTAGGTTACACACCAACGAGCATTGGCCACATTGTACAGGAAAAGCTTACTGCGTACAATACAATGCAATGATGAATATACTTTGGCCATTGAATGAACGTAAGGGACCCACAACACATGTCATTACACTGCTTAAAACATGCGTAATGTTATGGTTCTTCTACCCAATGACATCTTTGCCAAGTAGGTAGGTTTACGAGAAAAAAAACTGATTTTGTAATAGAAAGCAAGAATAACTAAATACCTTTTTAATAATCACTATGCTTTCTACAGCAGCACGTTAGTGATATAGATTTAAGCAGACACAAGGCATCTACTAAAGCCTACTTTTCTAAACCCTTTTGTAGAAAGATATTAAAGCGTAAATATTGTAACTTGAATTGAGAAGAGGACGAATGCCATTTGGTAATAGAATGTATATACTAGTAGTATACTTAGTCTAGTAGTAAATAGAGGAATAAGCTGTATAGGTTTGTGCTAAACATATTTTCCCTACTTTATACACCTAGGCACTGTTAAAATGTCCATATTCCTGATGCAACTAGACAAACCTTCCATAGAAAAACACATCTGTTCATCTATCTGTACTATGACTGAAAAGCAAGGGGAAGTTGAATTTATGTAATGATAGTTTTATTTTGTATCTGTTAACTGCATCTCTTCATCGTGTTTTGTTGTGGCCTGAGCTGGCCAGTGTGGCAAAAATGTGCCATAAAGGTCGTCATTCCTTACATAGACAAGATTGGCTGTTCCAGATCGACTTTTTGAGCAATTTATCTAACGGTAACTAACTCAAGTCATATATTCAGTGATTTTACGCACATTTGTAAATTCCTACCCCCATTTAGGAAAGCACTCAATGGCGAAATAGCCACATTTAAACGGCTTAGACTGATACGTAGACTTATGTGCTTGTATCTTTCCTCTCTTTATCTTGAGCACCAGTGTGTTATAGCTATAAGCTATAGGCTCGCTCTCATTCAAATGTGCAAAATGCTGTCGCCACTCTTTACGACTAGATATGAGCCAAATCACGCAACTCATCATTGCTTTCTTCACTTTCCCACTACACCTACTACATTTCACCACTATAGCTCGATGGTTTCACAAAAAATTTACCACAACACTAGGTTTGGTTGACATGCAAGACGCGGATTTCTGTAACCTCTGTTACCACTCAAGTAAGACGGTCGCAAAATTTAGATAGAGCCACTTATATGAAAAACTGCCATTTTGATGACATTTTGCAACTTTTCTGCCTTTCTTAAAGGAGAGAGAAGAAAGATTCTGAAGTGTTTACATGATACATTTAGCTACCTTTGCTGAACAAATGTTTTACAGTAATGAATGCCTCCGTAACAGTTGTTTGTTACTTTCAATGTTGGTAGTAAACTTTGCCTGATATAAGAAAGTTGCCTTTTTTAAATGCCTGTGCTTATGCTCCATTGCTCCTAAAAGATAATTCAAAAGCAAAAAACTGTGGATCTTTTCGCATCTCCGTTACTGGTATTCTGTACATTTAAATGAGAAAGAGCCTATAGGGTGTGTACAATGCCCCTCCTTGTGGGCAGTAAAGGGGATAACGTTGATCTGAATCGTCTCCTTGTCACGCCCAGCACGACGCAAATCGCTTTGAAAGGCTGCAGCTTCTGGCGAGGAGCTTTCTTTAATAGCTGCTGTTATGGCTTAGGTTATTGGAGGTGTTTATGATCCATAATTGCGTGAAGATGGCACGTCTGTCGGCAGATGTTGGTGTAAGATAACGCGGTGGGGAGGATTGCATGGTGTTGTAGTAAGCCGCATGTACTGTCTTATAAGAGGGTGTGTATGCGGTTGTGCACGTTTCAGTTTTATCAATTGCGTGATGTTGTAGTAAGCCGCATGTACTGTCCTATACTGTATTATAGTCGTACAATCATGGTACGATTGTCCTACGTTCCCAAACTGAGGGAACTTGGCAGTACGAGTTTCAGTCTGCCAATGCAGGATTCTTACAGAATGTTTATGTGGGATGTCATCAAATGTTATGGCTTGGTCACATACAATCGTCCTACGATCATTGCACAGTGGTCGTACGATAGTCTTTTGAGACTGACGGATGGAAGAAGATACAGAACATATACATGGTAACTTACGATTCGCCCTCGGCTGCGACTGCGTCCAGCACTGTTATTGCGTATTCAATGGCACTTCTTCTGTCTTTCTTAGGGATGGCGTCATCCTCTAGATGGGCAAGGATATCTCTTAACCTGTAAAGGAGAAAACACAGAATAATTTAGTCCAAGTCAGACCATTACTTCTGGGTACGGGAGTATTGTTTTGGATGGCTGAGTTGTATGTTTGTGTCTCTGCTTGTCCTATATAACATGGCTTCAGTTACTTGGTGGCTGGGAGGTGATTTGGACAGTTGATTGACTCAGCATGTGCCGGTTGGGAGCATGTTGGCGGTGTGTGGAAGTATTCAGGAAAAGATGCAATACCAGATTGAAATATATCATATAATCCTCTCCGTATTTCCAATACATTTTTTGTTTCACAAAGGAGGGCACAAAATTATTTGGAGCAGTACGTTCTGCCGACGTGCTCCCTAAACCTAGATTGACAGCATTAAGCGTAGTTTTCACAGTGATTCACGACTGATAACTGCCTAATTGAAACGGGTTGGGCGTAAAATATGGGGCGCCGGATGTCAAAATCCCCACATCATTACGTACTGCTGCAGACGTCAGCGATAACATCGCGTCAGCCTTTGGAATCCAGAAAGCGACCCTTCCTCAAAAAACGCTGCAACAAACGACCTTCAAAATGACCTAAACCTTACATGTATAGACTAAGAATGTATATACATGCATATGGGCTTACCATATACATGTAACGTTATATACAGTATATTTACAGCCATTTTGTAGACTTAGCCATTTATCAACAACAGTATCTGACAGGTGACAAACCTTCCAGGTCAATGGAGGTTAATGGACAAGGCTACTAAATCATGGGGAGATAAAATTGTTTTTGGTTTGTCTGTTTAGTACACAGCTATGTACATGTACAGGTATTTTCCAACTACATGTACACCTATTTGTTTTTGGGATCTCTGTTTAGTACATAGCTATGTATTTTCCAACTACATGTATGGACTAAAAAGTCTGTTAGCCAGTTGGTTTTTGGTAAAACTAAAAAATGTCTAGAACTGGCCTATGACGATTGAGAAAATTGACTTTGAAACAACAAACTTGGTCTGAAATTTCATTGGAAGCCTTTAAAAAAGAAGAATTAATCGACCCTAGAAACTTTGATACGTGTTTTTATCTTTTTATCCCAAATTAGTTTTCATGATTCATGGCTTTAAACGAAGCTATCTCAGATTAAATCGCTAATCCGGGATTAGTTTTAGGAGCCAGTTCAATTAGCGAAAACTCATGCCAATGGCGTTATCTTTCTGACATCACGATCCATAAACTTTTACGTGAATCTGAGAAGGAAAGGACATGCACAGAACTATGAACACGCACTCGCTGCCTTATGCTTAGGCAACAGCACGTAAATTTTATGGATGACATCCTCTGCAAACTCCAAATCTAATGCGAGCGGGCAAAAAAAACAAGGCGGGCCGAAAAAAACAAGGTTCCTACAGTTTAAAATTTTTACTCAATCATTGTACAAATGGTTGATTTTGATTCAGATTCAGATTCACATATACTCAGCCAGCATCACATATCACTGCATAAAAGTAAGAAACAAAACATTAAATCAGAGTCTTTTCTTGTCTAGAAGTAAATTACAATCATGTGAATATGTTTTGAAATAAATTACTTCAATTTTTGGTGCAAAGATGCTTCAAAAAATCCCCTTGATGTTATGCAGGCATTCGGTGGATATTTGAAATTGCATCTGCATGCAAATCAAATTATGCACTTGTATGCAAATCAAGATATTTTTCACCAATATTTTGCACTAGAATGCCTTGTTTTGCACACAATTTCTCTATGGACGCATCTGTACGGAAACTACGTATTTTGGGTATTAACTTTATTTACGTGAAAGCGACCTTATACCGTCGGGCGGCCACTGCCTGACCTTCCCGTACGCTAAGCCGTTAAAACACGGCCTAATCCCCCGGACGTGTGGGATTTCTATCGCTATATGCCTGCCTAATCCTACCTTTAGATTACCCCCAAAACCTATCAATGAAGAAAGCAGTGAAAACACTGTACCCTGGAGTACACTGATGTCTCTTATTGCAATCCATAGGCCTATTCTGGTAAGTTATATGCCTACATGAAATTCGATCTTTAAGAAAACATTTTGTCATCTTTTCATACTTGAAGATAAAAGTCAAGCTACGATTTTGACTACCACAAAAAAAACAAAGGAAGCATAGGATGCAGAAAAAAAACAGACATTTTCCGTCAGCTAGCGACATCGTATTTTTTTGCCTCACAGATATCAGTATGCTATGGGATAGGGTTGGCTCAACTTACTACATTTAGAAAGGAGCAGAAAATTGACTTTGAAAATCAAGTTTTGCTGCCGTGAAATTGCTTTTGGTTCCTTTGGAAAATATGTAAATGTTCTTTTTCTTCACTCGACTAATAAAAGATGTACCTTTACGTACGCTATATGTTAGGCATAAGAATCGCGAAATTGGGGTATTCTAGCTTTAGTTGGCTTCTCTGGTCAATTCCCTACAGATTATTCAGGATAGAAGCAATTGAGAAGGGCAATCCGGGGTTAGAATAGAGTGGATACTGGGCCAAAATGCTCTCTAAAGTATCTTGAATTACACAGAAAGCACTTATGTGGAAAGCTCCTTGTAGAAGAGGGTATTTGACCTTTCCTTGGTGCTGAAGTCCCTGCTGCTAGAATATGTCCGTTTTCAATTGAGGAGAACTGGTCATATCCAGAAAGTCAATGCAATGGCAAACCGCAAGGAATTCCCTTTTTTTAACAAAAATGAAAAAAAGAGAAACTGGAAACAATAACTGCTATGTATTTTAATTTTGTAAAATATTGTCTATTAAACATATTGCTGTATATTTGTGGGTGTACGTGCTCATTTGTAATTTACAATTTATGATTTGTATTGTGAATATGATTTGAAACAGACTTTAAAGGCTGAATATAGGACTGGTTGTTGTTAGTAAATAAAAGATCTGATGGAAATCCACTGTCCAATCTTAATAAAGCCGCATGCAGTCTAAAATTTTTCATACTCTTTTTTTTAAAAAAGGAGAATATGTCTTGACAAGTAACTTACTATGTGTATAATATCTACTCCATTCCCATTCTATCCTTAAAGGCGTATCAAAATGGCTTATACAACAAAGCCGTCCACTGAAAATTCAATTAATTCTTGATGTCTTTGTTTAGAATCGCAGCTATGCTAAATCTGGAAGAAAGTGTCTTTGATATGCAAAAATAAAAATAAAAATTTTGCGAAATTAAATCCATATGTTTAGAGTAATGAAAAGGTAGACCGATGATGTTTATTCCATTGATGTTCTATACGCCCCATGTGGCCATTTTCCCTAAACCCTCTAATGCAAACTGTAGATCCTCTCCATAATCCTCTACCAATACCTAACGTAAACAAAACAAAGGTCAAACGATATGGACGGAGGATATCAGCTTTCAACGTTACCTTTTGGACGCCTTCTCGGCTGCCTCCGGGGAGTCCATGGGTGTCTCTCGGGCCGGCTCGCCTTTTCTCCCGAGGCAGGCTCCGTCTTCACTGAGGCTCCTGGACGACGAGCTTCCGAACCTTCTCCTGGACCGGAACACGCTGTACGACTCTCTCCCTGTGTGGAAAAGAGACCGTGCGTCACACTTTCTGAGACCAACACACTTTCTGAGAGAGAAGTCTTTCTAACAGTTCGAGTAGGCACTAAAATACCACGCAGAAGACTGTACTTTAGTACTCTCTGACGACATATGCTGAAAATACGTCCGTAGTTTGTCGATTTCCCTGGTCAATGTGAAGAAGTGGTCGCGGCAAATGAGTAGATTCAAGACCGCTGACTTGCTTATGATGCACGCTGTCGCCACTCAAACCTTTCCAGTAGGCGCTAAATTATCGCGTACACTGCTTTGAATTGATGCTCTCTGACGACATATGCTGAAAATACGTCCGTAGTTTGTCGATTTCCCTGGTATGTGATCAAACGGTCGCGGCAAATTCAGGTAGATTCAGGACCGCTGACTCGCGTATGGTGCACGCTGTCGCCACTCAAACCTTTCCACTAGGCACCGAACTACCTCGCAGACTGCTTTGGTTGGGTGCTCGCTGACGACATATGCTACAAATGTTCCCGTAATTTTGTCGATTTCACCGGTCAACGTGATCAAGCGGTCGCGGCAAATGAGTAGATTCAAGACCGCTGACTTGCTTATGGTGCACGCTGTCGCCACTCAATCTTTCCAAGGCGGCGCTAATCAAACTGCCGCGTAGCCTGCTTTGGTTGGCTGCTCCCTGACGATAAAATTTCCCGTAGTTCGTCGTTTGAGAACTCCCTGGTCAATGTGGTCAAGACGCTGGAGTGGTCGCGACAAATAAGTACATCTGTAGACTCAAGACTTGGTGTTGATGGGCCCTAGCGCCATTAAACTTTTCCAAGTAAGTGCTAAAATGTCGTATACACTGCTTTGGTTGGGTCCTCGCTGACGGCATATGCTACAAATCTTCCCGTAGTTTGTCGATTTTCCTGTTCAATGTGATCAAGCGGTAGGTAAGTAGATTGAAGACGGCTGACTCGCTTATGATGGGCCCTATCGCTACTCAACCTTTCCAAGTAGCCGTTAAAACACCGAGTACACTACTGTAGCTGAGTGCTCGCTGACGGCATATGCCACAAATTTTTCCGTAGTTGGTCGACTTTTCTGGTAAATGTGAAGAAGTGGTCGCGACAAATGAGTAGACTCAAGACGGCCGACTCGCTTATGATGGGCCCTATCGCCTCTCAACCTTTCCACTAGGCGCTAGAACACCAAGTAGACTGCTGTATCTGAGTGCTCACTGGTGGCATATGATGAAAAAAATCCGTAGTTCCTCGTTGGCGATTTTCGTGGCAAAGTGACCACGACGAGCGGTCACGACAAATAAGTAGATTCAAGACAGCTGACTCGCTTATGATGGGCGCTATCGCCTCTCAACCTTTCCAAATAGCCGCTTGACTATCTCGTAGACTGCTGTATCTGAGTGCTCACTGATGGCATATGTTAAGAAAATTTTACGGTAGTTCCTCGTTGGCGATTTCCCTGGTCAATGTAAAGAAGTGGTCGCGACAAATAAGTAGATTGAAGACGGCTGACTCGCTTATGATGGCACCTATCGCCACTCAACCTTTCCAAATAGCCGCTTGACTACCTCGTAGACGGCTGTATCTGAGTACTCACTGGTGGCATATGCTGAAAAAAATTTACGGTAGTTCCTCGTTGGCGATTTCCCTGGTCAATGTGAAGAAGTGGTCGCGACAAATAAGACAGCTGACTCGCCAATGATGAGCCCTATCGTCACAAAACATGAAAAGATGACTCGTCTGATGTCGCCCGTCCTTTGAAATTACGGAGGATATTTCTCTGGACTGATACAGTACACTGCCGCCACCACTGATCCACACAGTCTCTAACACAGCTTGCTTTCATCGCGATCAAATTACAAGCCTGTCGTCCACAAAAAGGGATAATTTTATACAGACATGTAGGCGACTAAACGCACCTTTCCTGCCACCTAACGTGATCAAAATTAATGTGACGTATGCACGAGCAGACTAGAGCTAATCATTATTCCGTAAACGGTTATGACGTGTTTCGCACTCTCATCTTTTACAAGCCGGATTATGCAACATAAAAGCGACATTATGTAAGATTTTTGCACCGGAACTGCAAATATAATAATGGAAATGTTCTCATCTAGATTGTCATTTTCAATAACTTTCAACATATCAGAAATGTGAGATAATTGCACAAATGTGTTCAAAATTGGCAGTTAATTGCAAAAACACAGACATTTTTTTCAGGTTGCGTAAAAGTTTCATAATTGTCCCTTTAAGTATAACGAAAGCGGATGAGAGTTTTCACCGAATGGCTGAAAGTCGTGGGCAAAAAATTCAGAGTAAAGAAAGTGTCAGAAAGTGTAGTTGAGAGGTAGTATGATTAGTTATTTATCAACCTGAACTGACAGATGACAGACATTAGACACAGCGCACGTCGATAGAATTCCCTGCTTTGATTCCCACACGTCGCCGACCTTGAGCGTTATTCCCGTTTCAGATGAGATTGTCCCAGTCTTTTGCGACATCCATTAACACTAATTGACATTTTAGATGCGCGGAAGTGAACGATTTTGCTGAGAGGCGTCGCGAGTGCTTTCTAAAATCTTTCCTTGACTTCGGCAAGGCGGACTCTTATTTTACTTGGAAAATTGTACATTTTAGTGTAATGTGTGACTGAGAGATTGTAAATACCACAATAATTCGGACTTCGGACATCTCCGTCCTCTTTTCTATGCAGTGCTCTTCAATATGAAGTGTTTCAATACCCCCACGTAGTCCTCAATACCCATACAGTGCTTTTCGGTAAAATATTATCGAAACCCCCATACAGTGCTTTTCACATGTAGTGAAGCAAATTATATCAACAGCCAATCAGCAAGAACGACACAAGTTGCATGCCTATTGTCTCTAGCTCATACTCTTTACAATAAATACAATTACAAATACAATTTTGCTTAGTAACACCCTACAATAGAGTGGATTTGGACCTGAAATCAGTAAATAAAGTCCTAAATGAAACAATTTTAATCTTATTAACTGAAACAATGCGTACTTGCAATGACTCCATTTAGCCGGGGAGATCCTTTTCCTTCTTCTCTTGAAGTTGAATCTTGTCTGGCGGCCTGTTCTTCTGGGTTAGCCACTGGAAAATAACAACAGAAAACAACGGTTGATGCATGTTGATGACCGGTGCAATTGTGAGTAAGTAGGGTGTTCACCTTGCATTCGGTAGGTCGTGAGTTCGATCCCCGGCCGAGTCATACCAAAGACTTTAAAATGGTACACACTGCTTTCTCTGCTTAGCACTCAACATTCGGAAAAGAGTATGGGAGTTAAACATACACCACTACCATGGGAATAAATATTGCCTCATTATAGTTGTCATTATTGAATATCATCTCTTCATTTAATTATAATTTATTTAGTAGCGATAACCTGGTTTTATCTATTATTTTCATCTGCGATTGTTTTCGTTTTAGCTGTATGTGTTTACATACATTCGTGTTACGTCATTCTTGTGTTTCCCTTATTGTACTTATAATTTCTTACGTTTTTATTTTAGACATGGGTTTAGAGAGGCTTGGTCATGTTTTGCCATTCGGTTACATACTTGTTATGTGGCAAAGTTGAAAAAATACATAAAAAAGACACAAAAAAACGCCAATTATTTCATAGAGGTATGGCGTCCTTAAGGCCTAGAACTTTAATTGTAAGCACCTTTTATAGATAAAACATATTGTTTTTTTTTTCATCTGCAGTACACATCGAGCACTTCAGTCTTTCAGAGGGACCTTAATCTAATTATTTCTGTGGCTGCTTCGCAACAGTGTGCGTCACCTGTTGCCATGGCAACAGTAATGTTGTTACCGCTTTGTGTTTGAATGAAGTGTTCTTCTATGGTTTTTCAGAAAATGCCATTCGCTCCCCCCAGGGAAGTATATATGGCTAGCTTTTCATACAGTAATTGGCATTTAATTGCATTTCTACATTCACTATATATCCGTTGCCTTAAATGGTAGCAACAGGCTGGGCTTTTCAATCGTATGGACATATGGTTTACAATATGCCCATAGGTGACATTGTTGCTATGGATTTTTTGACGTCGAAGCACTCAAATTGATTTCAGGACAGTAAAATAGGATTTTCAAAGCCAATTTTCTGGTCATTTTTCAATGTAACGTTGAATCAAGCCTACCCCATAGCATACTGATATCTGTGAGGCAAGTTTTTCTGACTCGAGTTTATAATGCATAGAACGATACCCGCACAAGCTTTGCCTTTGCCAATTTGACCTTCTTGTCAATCTGCGGTAACTGACCCCACCCCAAAAGTCCACTCTTCGCAAAAATACGGGAAACATTTTCTGACTCGAGTTTATAATGCATAGAACGATACTCGCACGAGCCTTGCCTTTGCCATTACGACCTTGTTTTCGTGGCGTGTAGGTGCTTCAAAGTGCGGGGGTCGGAAAGGGCATCATCTTTGCGGCGAAGATAGCCGACCCTGGGGCGGTACGGAAACGGGCGGAGGACTCAAAGAAAATGTAATGATTGGATCGCGTGAGCGGACGCTTTGAAGTAGGAAGATACCGCAATTGCATGTTTTCAATTCAAGCTATATATGAGGATTTTACAGTCTACTATAATACTGCTATATGTAACTGTATGAAGAAAATGCGTCGGTACATTGAATGAAATCGCGGAAATGCTTTGACCTATGCCACGAAGACTTCATAGTACAACAATGAAATATTGAGAGCTTTTGCAAGAAAGCTTTTGTAAGAAATTGTTTTATTTTCTCTCATTGATTATGGAAATATCATAATAAAACCTATCGCCAAAAATCAAAACCATGCATAGCATGTCTAGGACGGGAAGATAAAAAACAATTTTGCTGCAGCACCAAGGAAAGCCGCCAGGAGGACGATGCTTCACATTGACCACAATCTTCCCGAGACCTACCCATATACCAAATATGATCACAATCCATCTATGTTGATATGCTGAAAAATACTAAATATGGGGCATGTCTTCCCCTAAAACAGCAAAACAGCACACAGAACCGCCTCCTAGCGAACATTGGAGGAGACACACCTGTACAGCCACCTGACCCAGTGGGACATGTATAAATCCTACCACTTAAACTTTGGGCTCTTTCTGGATTTAACGTTCTTTAGGCATAAATCCTACAGCTTGCAGTTTGTTTACTGTATAGTTGGCCATATTAACAACGTATTGCTGCTATAGTGTGGTTGAGTGTTGGGCTAAAAGGGCAGAAAGAAACCGAAAGATTTGTCTTTTTCGCTTCATGTAAGACCATTGCTTCTGAATAATGTTTTCCCAATGCTGCTGTACTCTATATATAGCTGTCAACCTTATTGAGCGAAATTGTCAATCTTATTTTTGTTCTTGTTTTTTAGACTTATAATATTATAGTCACACACAGTATTTAAGCTCTGGGGGAAATTTTGCATTGCAGCTTAGCTGTTGAACTGTTGTACCCTAAAATTCTTCTAGGTGTCGCTTTTTCTCTACTTAAGGAAATGAATGCTATGGACGTGTGTTTGCTTGAAAATGAAATAAAACCGAAAGAGGGAAAACTTCTGTTAACTTTCCATTCATTTTGTTTGACTTTACACAAAATCAAGAGTTAAGCAAATAAGAGTATAGCTTGTTGCGACGGTACCGCCATTTTTTCGGTCAAATCTAAAGAAAAACAAAAAGTCACACATTTCAAACCTCAGAGGTGTATTTGGAGTTTCTGTGCATTTCACACTATTCAAAATATGGTCTGACATACTTGAAAACCTTGTCACAAGTCGTATGTGGGTGACTATTATGGGTTGCGCCATTACTGCACTAGCCTGCTAGTCATCACTGCCTGCCAACCTGACCCCAAGGTCAATCTACGGTAACCACAAACCTTCTTTGTCTAATGCACTCAAATATCTAGTACAAACAGAAGCAAACACACAAACACAAAGTAATATCTCTTTACCCTGAAAATAATCAGAATAGACACAATTCTTTACGCACACATTAAAGCATGCGTATATGTTCTATTCCTCCACTCGCGCGTCCCTTTACACATGCTTTAAGATGTGCTTAAAGATACGTTTTGTGCAGTGAAGGAAACGCATTGCCTATACGTACCCTCCAGCGTAGGAAACAGTAATTATCAGTAATTGGAGAACCCCTGAGTTTCCGAAATGGCCGTGCCTTCCAACTTGACCTTAAGGTCAATCTACGGTAACCAAAACTGCTCTTTGTCTAATGAACTTAAATACCTACATGTAGTACAAACACACAAACACACACAAAGTAATACCTCTTTACTCTGAAAAATCATAATAGACACTGCACAAAATCATTTTTTTCGCCCACTTTCATGTTCTATATCTTGTCTCTTTACACATACTTTAAGATGTGCTTAAATGTATGTTCTTGCACAGTGAGAAAACGCATTGCCTATACGTACCCTCCAGCGTAGAAAACAGTAATTATCAGTAATTGGAGACCCCCTGAGTTTCCGAAACGTCCGTGGCACCGTGCACTAACGACATTGTAGGTCATGCCAACTCACGCTAATGCGGACAATTTGGCAGGCTTTTCATAGTCATTATAGCCGGGGATTTGGGGGAATGTGCTTTGTTAAGCCCACTCGGCCTGGACCTTTAACGACAAGCTATTCAGATCCAACTGCCGATAGTCATATCGATCACTGTCCGTCACTTTTACACAGAAGGAAACTCTTGGTTGGTACTTAGTGGAAACAGGTGGTTGGAGATAAAACATGTAGAAACTGCCAACTCTCTGTTAACGTACTCGAAGCGATTTCAGGCCAGTAAAACTGGATTTTCATGACAAAAAGTTTATTTTATGGTCATTATTTGAATGTAGCAAGTTGAATTAACCCTATATTCTATCGCATGCTGATATCTTTGAGGAAAACAAAATTTCGAAAAACCTGTTACGTATTGTAGGCTGGATCTAGATATTTATTGGTGGTACCAAAAATAAAGGCTTGTTTTTATTCCAACGGCTAAGTATGAAATAATGGCAAAATGTGCTACGAAGTTTCAGTAAATGTCAATATCATACAAATTTCCTCATCCAGAATATTTGTTTTTTCTGTCACCCTGAAATATTGCATTGGATGTCTTTGACGTTACGGGTTATTGTATTGTGTGCCTTTAATAACGTTGGAATACAGAAATATATGCTACACAGGTACAGCCTGTGACAAACGTAAACGGGGTGTTAGCAAGTTCACGTTTCAGTGGCGAAAACCATTAGAAGAACACAGTAAGCCGCATTCAGTAATTAGTCCCTAACATGACTGATTACATGCAAAGTGTAGATGTCTGCGATAATGTTTGTATAATCATGAGGAGGGCTAGATCTAGACAGGAATACATGTACAACATGACCACAAATTTTTTTATCATTTCTTTTTACTATTTTTTAATATTAATCTTTATTAGGAATTATTACCTCCGTACGGAAGGTTTGTTTTAGGTGCATTTGTTTGTATGTTTGCCTATGTTTCCGTAATTATTTCTACATGCTAGACAAGTTTGGGACGCTTACAGGAAGTTAGGTCAAAGGTCCCAGAAAAGGTTATCATGTCTTAAAAATTAAGTATTCATATTATATGCCCTATTATGCTTTCTTCGTCCCACAGATTTTACTTACTGTGGCCTAAGTTTCATTCTAAAAATTCTATATTCATACCTTTAATATATGTATCTTCTTCGGACGCGCTAGCAAACATATTACATAATATTTCACAATTGTACCCGTAGGCGTTACTTTTAAGAAGCCCGTCTCAAAATATGAGGTGGTAAAACTAAACAGAAAATATTGAGGATCCTCCCTATATTTCAAATATGACCTTCAACATATTATCTTTCTCAAAGAGTAAAATAATGTAAATCTACATTCGGACCCACTAAACCCTTAATGGACGACGTATTAGGTGTTTACCGACACTAAGGCAGGCTGAGAACTGTGGAGATTTAACGAAAGCTTTGGATCTAAGAGGGTTTTAAAGACCATAACGCCTTTCTGCGTCACCAGTTCTGAGGATTGTATCAAAGTATCAGTGTGTTGGCTTTAAGCATGTATCCTACGTTCTTTATAA